AGCATCAATGGTTCACACTACAGGCAGTCCCCGACCTACGTGGATCCGACTTATGTCGGATCCGCACTTACGAACGGGGCTTTTCTTGCCCCAGAGCTTACGGGCGGCGGGTCGCCTCCCGTGTCCTCCAGGGCGAGAAAAGCTTCTCCCGGTCTCCCTGGTCTGCTGGGGGGGGGTCCATCAAAGCCGCTGGTCTGCAGGGAGATGGGGAGCAAAGCCTTGGAGCACGCCCACAGCGGGACAGCCCAGGCGCGCTTGGGCTGTCCCGCGGCTTTGCTCCTCGTCTCCCTGGTCTGACCAGCAGATCAGGGAGATGGGGAGCAAAGCCGCGGAGCACGCCCGCAGCGGGACAGCCCGGGCGTGCTTGAGCTGTCCCCCTGCGGGCGTGCTCCAAGGCTTTGCTCCTGTCCCCCTGGTCTGCTGGGGGGGGTCCAGCGGCTTTGCTGGACCCCCCCGGCAGACCAGGGAGACCGGGAGAAGCTTTTCTCGCCCTGGAGGACACGGGTGGCGACCCGCCGCCCGTGAGCTCCAGGGCGAGAAAAGCCCTGTTCGTAAGTGCGGATCCAACGTAAATTGGGGACTGCCTGTACTTGAAAACTGCTATTCTGTCCATATATTTATGCTGGATTTCGAGCAGCAGTGGTTTTGGTAATTGTGAATGCTGCCATCTACTGGTGAATTAAAGGTTGGGTGATGCAAGCATTGCACACTAATCCTGATCAAGTTTAAGATTTTCCTGGGATTGAGGATACCAGCCTGGAGCACCCTTTGCTCCTTTTTCCTCTCTTCAGCAGTGAAGTCTGCAAAGCTCACAGCATCATTTGCCATGCACTGGTGCGTAGCTTCTGGCAGGCTTTCCTTTGATGCCACCCCTCTCCCTCTGCATTGAAATCAGCCTCTGCCAGGAACCAAGGAGCTTTGCTCTTACACAGCTCACATGCAGAGCCAGGCTGAGAAGCTTCTGGCTCACCAGTGCAAACAGAGGAAGAAATAACATCTGTCCAAAGCAGCCAGCTGTTGCTTCATTTTTAAGACCCCTGACCTCCATTTATCACTGGGCTTCTGTGTTGCTTGTAGAAGTTCAACTGTTTATCAGCAGCAACACGGAGTGCTGGCCGGTCACTGTTATTACAGAGTGGTCTCCAAACCATGAATAGGGTGGGATGCTGTGAAACAGAGACCATAATATCATGGTAAGTGCTCTTACACCTAAGAACGTGGAAGGCAGCAGGGAGGGGTTAGAGCTCCACCTCTGTGCTCCCTTATTAGTGCTAGCTTCAAAGAGAAATGGAGCAAGTGTCATAATGACTAAAAAGGTTCAGAGCTGAAGCCAATTTATAAGGAAAGTATTAAACACTAGGGCTACGTCCACACTGCCATGTGCTTTTGCGCAAGGGTTCTTGCACAAGAACCTGCCAGTGTAGACATAGCCTAGGCACAGGCATTTCATGCTCCTCTTTTTTATAGAGTGGATGGCACCATAATGTTAGAAACGACTATGCTGTGGGGGAGGAGGTGCAGCTGCTCATGCCTGTGCTAAGCCTTGCCAGTTAGCAGCAGCTGAGAGGATAGATTTGTTACCATGCTTAATACACACAGGTAAGAGCCAGAAGAGAAGAAATAGCACATCTGCTAACACGAGCTTTTAAAGGAACAGCTGTTACTCCGGACAATGAATGAACTAAGCTTTATTTAACCTTGCCTTGCAGGCACCATTGAATCGGACAGTCTTCCAACTTTTCTTTCTTACTAACAAGGGGGGAACTGGCTGGGAGGAAAGTCAGGGGATTTGGATCAGGCTGACAAACAGCATCACACAGTGAAGAGCAGCTGCCACACCAGTGATGGCTTTGGCCCAATTTTTTAGATACCTGCTCAAAAAAAAAAAATTAGAACTTTGATCATTCTCCATTTTTAAAGTCAAATGTGGATGGGTTTTATTATGAGTAGAAAGTGCTTAGTACAATAAATAAGGGCTTTGTTTATGCACCAGTAGAGATGTTTGCCTATACAAGGAAAGGAAGTAGGTGCTGATTACATCATCTACAATGTCACAAACTGTCTCAATGTTAACAGCTGCAGAACAAAGTTCCCTTTCTGGCTATGAGTTTTGGGAAGGAGGACTAAAAGCTGTTTTTTCCCCCACTTACTAATTACAAGCGAGACCCAGGTATTAGGACCTGCTGACTCAAGCTAGGTTAGCAGTTTCATTTTTGATCAGAGCTACTGTAAGTGAAAATAACTTGTTTTAGCTTTTGAGCCATTCAAGGGTACTGCTGTGAGTAGCAGCTGCAGGCTGGGGATAGCACAGTGCTTACTGTAGGCCAGATCCAGGCAGCTGTGCCACGCCACACTGCCAGCACAGAGCTGTCCAAACGTCTACAGCACTGATCCCAGTGTAGAGATCTTCAGGCACAGTAGCGGTGATTATGCAACCCCCATCTCTACCATCAGCCAGAGGGACAGCAGCCCTCCCTTGAGGGTGGAAGCCACTGGTAAAATGTAGAGCATGTCAGGCTCCTTTAACAGATGCCAGAAAACGAGCCGACGACAAACAGCACAGACGATAAAGCTGTCCTGACACTGCCTCTCCTGTGTAGCCCAGTGTGAACCCCAGCCAAGGACTTAGGTGCTCGTGTTCCCTCAAACTCCAGCTCTCAACGTGCTGCCCAGTTCTCTACAGTATATGACTGTTTAGCATTAATATGCAAAGATTAACCCCTAGTGCTTTGATCTGTGTCACTCTTTCAAAGCGTGGACAATACTGGCCACTACAGGGCTGTTTCAAGTAGCCACAGTTCTGTGTCCTCTTCAACTGCAGAAGCATTTTCCTCTTAAATATTACGAGCAGTGAAACACTCCCTTTTTGGCAGTAAAGCAACGTCTGGCAGCTTCCACAATGCTGCTGCAGGGACACTTAGGGCTCGTCTACACTGGCCCCTTTTCCGGAAGGTAAATTTTTGAGTAATTTTTGAGATCGTAATAGGGAAATCCGCAGGGGATTTAAATATCCCCCGCAGCATTTAAATAAAAATGTCCGCCGCTTTTTTCCAGCTTTTAGAAAAGCCGGAAAAGAGCGTCTACACTGGCCCTGATCCTCCGGAAAAAGCGCCCTTTTCCGGAGGATCAGGGCCAGTGTAGACGCTCTTTTCCGGCTTTTCTAAAAGCCGGAAAAAAGCGGCGGACATTTTTATTTAAATGCCGCGGGGGATATTTAAATCCCCCGCAGATTTCCCTATTACGATCTCAAAAATTACTCAAAAATTTACCTTCCGGAAAAGGGGCCAGTGTAGACGTAGCCTTAACTTACTCGTTCAGTCTCATGTAATGATCTTTCCATCACTAGGAGTATCTTAGCTTAACGCCTTCCCCTAAGGAGCAGTCTGGATTTTGTTTGGAACAGGCTCTGAGGCCTTGTCTACGCTACCGCGAGCCATCAACCTAAATTCTGCAACGTGAATAACGTAGCTGAAGTTGGTGTATTTAGGTCTGCTTACCCCGGTGAGGAGACCACAGTAAGCAAGTTGGCAGCTGATGCTCTCCTTTTGAGAATTTTTGTTTTGGTGGTGCACCGGCGTTGACAGCAAGTCAGTGTATGGGGTCTCAATCAAGCCCTGTGGATGGATCACTGCCCATCGTGAAGACATGCTCTGATGGCCATATCAAGCAGAGCACTTTTGAAAAACTTTCCACAGGGGCAAAGCATCTCTAAAACGTTGTCAGTTTCAGGCTTTACATCACCAGCTGCCATTGCTCAGCCACCACCTCTTTACTCTACCCTATGTTCCATCCAGAAAATGCCCTCAGCACTTCGGTAGGATTACAATCTTCCATGTAAACAGGAATTTTGTAGCGATGAAGACCATACAGCTCCTCTCCACACTGGATGCAGCACATGAGTAAAAATGAGAGTTAACGTTTCTCCAACAGATGATCCATTTCTACAGAATCCTTGGCGCTCCGTCTGAAAGGGGAAGGAATAGTGCTTGGCCTGTCCTGCAGTCCTAGGATCACTCGGGATCTTTAGACCTACACTGCCAGGAGGGTGTTAGAACAGTGTTGTTCAACCTTTTTTTTAATTTTATTTTTTTATAAACTACCCCTTTTTCAAAATAAATAAATAAATTATAAGTACCCCCAGTACCTACAGTTTTCAGACACACAAATTTTTTTTTCTACTATTGCAACACATCTGTTTAAACAACTTAATCGTAGCCAGGCAGACAATGACATTTTTAGGTGTAAAAAGTACAAAAAATAATAAAGCACTGTAAAACTTAACACAAAAATTCAGTTTTCTCCAAATTTCAGTTGTGCTGACATACCCCCCCAGACGTCTCTCGAGTACTCCTAAGGGTACTCATACCACTGGTTGAGAAACATTGTGGCTACATCTAGGCTATAAGCCTCTTTGGAAAGAGAGCATCTAGACTACAAGCAGATTTTTCAAAAAAGCGAGCCGCTTTTTTGAGAGAGAGTCTAGATGCTGTTTTTCAAAAAAGCACAGTTTGCATTCAATAGCATCTTTTTTCGAAAGAGTACTTTAGAAAAAGGCATTATTCCTCGTAGAATGAGGTTTACTGCTATCGAAAAAACTGCCGAATTCTTTCGATTTACTTTCAAAAGAATGCAACTGCAGTCTAGACCCAGGTGAAGTTTTTTTTTTTTTTTTTAAAAAAGGCTACTTTTTTCGACAAAACCCTGTAGTCTAGACACACCCTGTGTTAGAACACACTGCACTTCTATTGTGATCTCCAAGCACTTCACCATGGTACAGGAGGGCTGGCAGTTTTGCCAGGTCCCTGAGCAAGGTGCATGTGGGGGGTGGGGGAGGGGGACAGCTCCACACTCCCAGAAGGGCAAGGCCTGAGTGGGGGAAGGGGCAGGGCTAGGGCAGCCAGCCCTCAGCACTGCCCAGAACAGACCACATTGCCCCACATCCTCCCAGCCCTCAGAGTTTCCTGGAGCATGGTGCTCTGACAGCAATTAAAGGGCTCAGGATTTTGGCCCTTTTGAATCACCAGGCCCTGAACCAAATGACCCCTCTGCCCTCCCCTCCCTCTTTGGCGGGCCTGCCACGGTAGAATAGCAACACAAGCTGTCTCCCTAGTTATAAAATGGGAATCGACTCAGCCCGTGCTGCTCCCTTCTACAAGTGCTGCCTTAGCAATCATGGATATGAACAGTGAACACATGGTCCTGCCAAGAGGACAGTGGGGATCTAGCTAATGCAACTCCCCAAGAAAAGCCAGGAGCTGAGACTGTCCCTGCTCTGGCTTAGGGCACTGGTGCATGAAAGAGGAATCAATATACCGAGCCTTGCTAAGCAGTTCTGTCCCACAGACACAAGTCCCCTTGCTTGAGTAAGTCCCACTAAAGAGCATCATTGTAGTCGACAGAGTCCAAGTGCGACTGCGATGCTGGGGGTCGTACTGCTGAAGCCAGCTGCTCCTTAGAAGTGTTCGTCTAGGCAGGGTCCTGGCAGAAGGAAACTTGGCCTCTCACCACCGCCATCAGCTGCATACAAATGAGACCCCCACAAACACATAGGCAGCAGGCAGGCAACTTGAGTGCACGTGTATTTATTGTAACACATTCTCAGCACAGTGTAATACAGGAGCACGGGAGCGTAATTACAACCTGCACAGCATCCTCTAGACAACACGGACACAAGACACAACATGCAGCCCTAGAGGCTCCGGCAATAGATTCAGCGCTGGCTACAGCAGCGAACAAACCCACCTTAAAACACTGAGCAATCCAACAGTGGCTCATTCTCCAACACCCCTCCCTGCTTTCCTGGCTGGGCGTAGACAAGGATCCCGGCAACCAAGACAGTAAAAGAAAGACGTTGAACAATGTACAGGGTTATTCCCTCCCTCCCCCGACTTGCTGTTTGCAGCAAACATTTGGTCTAAAAAAATGTGAAGGCCTCATTTCAGAAACTCCCTCCCCCACACCTCGTTTTACTTCCCTGCAGTGAGACAAACAGCAGCCCCTCCCGCCCTCGTTCATCATCTGCGCTAGGAGAGCGTGTGGGCTTCCCATGAGGTCCCAGCTACCTCAGGAGTCAGGCTGCACCAAGGCCAGCTTGAGGCAGTGATTTCCTTCCATTCCCACCACCGACACCACAGTGAGCATGCAGCATGGCTCTCCTCGGAGGCACCCACAAGGCTGGGCCAGGCGCACCTTGGCCTAGCCAGATGAGCCATGCCAGCCTCACTCTGCCCTGCCCTCACTTGAGGGTTTCCAGAGCCCTTCCCAGAGTCAGGCGGGAGTTTGGAGCCACCTCTCTGGTTTCAATCAGTAATTCTGAAAAGCTGAGACATAAAAATGGTGTTTGCCATTCTCCATCCATCCCACACCCAGCCCCCTCCACCCCCACTCCCCCTGCTTGGAGGCTGCATGAGCAGCAGGAGGTGGGGGTGCAAGGAATTACTATTCGTTAAATGAGCCACTGTACACACCAAACAGGATCTGCCCTGAAAAGCTAGAAGCAGCTCAGTGCTGCTTTGCACGCAGGTGTATGAGGTTCAAGTCGCAGACAGAGATGCCATCCCCTAGCTGGGGACATCTCGGCCAGGTGCCTTCCCCAGCAGGACTGGAGAAGATTCAGTGAATCAAAAGGGACATTTCAATGCAGGTGGGTTAATACCTGGCTTCTTGCAGCGAATGGCTTGGCTCAGAGGTTCTCCCCCACTCTCAGCAGGCCCTTTCCCTTCTCCTCAGGACCACGGATCAGGCCGGGACTGTGCAGGGGTGTTGTGAGAGTGGAATATGCAGAGGTTACATTTTGCGACAAGGAGACAGAGGTGGGGGGAACCCAGAACTGGCCAGTCCAGCCTCAGCAGCTTGGAGTCTGACTGTGCCATGCCTTTGATTTTAAGCAACTCAGAACAGAGTCTGCAAGCCTGGTACTTGTCCACTATTCCAAGGAAGTTGCACAAATGCAAATGGCCCAGGGGAAGGCCAGGACGAAGCTGCTACTAGTCAGGCTTCCAGCTTTGTTCACCAAGAATGTGCAGAACAGATGAGCACAGACGTCGGCAGCACTGGGCCACACCTACTTAGCTGACAGTGGAAGAGAAACGGTCTCTCGAGAAGGTTTCTCAGGTGTAATTGGGCTGCAAGAACTAGAAAAAGAGCAAAACTCAAAACATTTGTCCCCTGTGCCCCAGCAGAACAAATCGAAGGCTACAGCCCTTGTGGCTGGAACCAGCTTCAAATGAACAGGGTTTCTCTAGTCACACCATTACTCACTGTGAACAAAACAAAGTTTCTTCTTTATACTTTGGAGCTCCAAAAAGTGCTCAGAACTGCTCCCGAGGAGCAAGACCTGTGAAGTTAGAGCCAAGCACAACCTGCAAAGGAGCAGAGATTCAACTCACTGAAGGCAGACTTGGGCTGCTCTTGAGAGCAGAGAGGGGCTCGGGCCAAACGTCCTTCCACTGAAGTTTTGTTTGGAGACAGTCTCCCCCCCACAGCTTTATGCCCCGAGGCTGTGCAGGAAGTGGGTTATGGTAAGGTTCTTCTGGCCAGCAGCATCCTTACAGCCAAGCCTAGAGTCTGCATGAGGTTTTACATTGTTATACAGGGACAATGGAGCAAGCACATCCTCACTGGGGCACCTCCACACCCAGAAAGGAAATCTATTTCTCTGCGGTGGACTGTGCCCCTTGGTCTTCAGTCCAACGATCCCCCACATTTCCAGACACGCGGGGCTGCCATGGCGTACCTCCACCATTTGGTCCAGCACGGCTCACACCGCCCGCGTCTCCGCCTCTATCTTCTGCTCCCCGTGCAGGCTCTCCAGCTCCTGCACCTGCGCTACGTTCTGACGCACAGAGATCTCTGGACCGCCTCCATACAGCGTGTTCAAGTAAATCCACGTCTCCTCGGAAATTTGCCCATAATCGGCTCCTGAAAAGCACAGCAGCAGCAACAGTGAAATGCAAGCGGGCCCCAGCTTACAGCATAGTCGGTGCTCCTCCTGCATGCGAGGGAGGATGGTGGAGATGCCTAGAGACTAGGGATGTAAAATCCCAGTTAATCCATTAACTGTGAACTGAATAAGCAGGATTCTGCTCCCAGCCCCCACCTGTGCATAGGACTGCTGCTGCTGGCCTGGCTCCTGCTCCCCACACCCTGCGCAAATGAGCCAGCTCTTAACCCCTGCGGGGCTGCTCCCAGGTGCTAATTAACAAGTACCTGGTAAGCATCACCCAATAAGGGGGTGATGCTTACTAGGTAACCGGTTACTCATTCACATCCTTCCTAGAGGCACAGAGAGAAGAAGAAAGAAGCACAGCTTTCACCACCCTGAGTCAAAACCAGCGGGACCCAGAGAAGGAGGCGAGAGACAGGCAAGCCCAGAGAGGGATCGGCAGATTTGGGAGTCGGCACAAGGATCTCAGCCAACCATCTTGCTTTGCACGGACAATCAATGACAGAAATGGAAGAGAAGTTCCCAGGCCCCTTGCCTATGGGACCAGTCCTACAAAGACACAGACACATGGGGTGGACCTAGCACGAGCCTTACCCTGCTTCACCTGCACGTGGCCACCTCCTTTTGAGAGTGCAATCTTGCTGTTGTCAATCGGTCCGGGAGGCTCTGTAAGAAAGGATGGAGGGTGGATCAGGAGCCAGGTTCCTGCTTCTCCCACTCTGCTTGCCCTCCACTGCTAGTGTGAACAGCTGGAAGCTGGGAGGAGAGAGAAGAGGACTGGGCCCCAACGACCACAATAAACATAACAGAAAGAGCTTTTGCTTGTATATGACGGAAATCAAATCCAGAGGTACTCAGCAGTGGCTGATGCTGGCTGACGTCCAGGAGAGCGACTGCCCAAGAGCTCCAGAGATCTAACAAGCCCATGACTACCTGGCAGAGGGGAAGTGTTGTTTTAATGCTATCTGCTGCAGAAGGCACTAGCCACGGAACAAGCCTGAAACACCAAACCTCAAAGAACAGTAACGGTCTGGCACCAGCCCAGGCAGCATCTCTCATTCAGCCTGGACTTGTAAAAAGCGAGGGGAACGCAGGGCTGTAGGAAACGGGAAACTGAGAGGCCAGCAGCAGCTCCATGGGACTGGGTGTGTCTGCGCTGGTGCACTCCAGGTCCCCCAAGACACTGACTTGCCCTTCCACTACAGGGACAACAGATGAAGAGCTGGTGGAGTGTAGCTACTTCACATGCACTGAATTGGCACCACTCGTGCTGTAAAAAGCTGTTAATGGCGGGAGATCTACAGCAGCGCTGAACACTGAGCATGTGGATGTGGCCAAGGCTTCCAAGTTCCCTTCCTGAGGCCTAGCTCCCCTCTGCTCCCCCAGCCAGGCAGTGTACCCACGTCAACCCAACAGCTCCTGGACGGAAGAGAGCAGCACTTTGTCACCTTGCATTGAGCCCCCGGGTGAGGGGTGGCCCTGATCCATGGCGTATGGGGGCCTAAAGGAGTGCCCTGCCCTGAGAGAATTTGGAGGGAGGCAGGTGGGCAGCATGGTCTTGTGGCCAAAGCCGAGGCCTGAGAGTCAGAACTGCTGATTCTCTACTGCTGACCCCGTGTTGGCTTAGATGACACGACCTCCCTGGGCTTCCTTTTCCCTGTGTATCACGCGGGGATTGCAACTCGCCTGCTTCCGAGCCTCCGGTGAAAAGCGGCGCGAATGCAGAACAGTGTTCTAGCGCACGGCAGTGACACGGCGTCCCCCAGGCAGGACACGTCCCCCACAGAAAGGGAGAGTCAAGTCTGGATTTCTCCAAAATATCCCACTAGCCTTTCAGCACGTGACAGGACCCAACCCTGACTGGAGGAAACTCACAGGGTATGTCTACACTGCAGCGTAAGCCCCAAGGTTCAAACCTCCCCCCCTTCCTTGTACCCACAACTTGCACTAACTCCGGGCTGGGTCCCAGGACCCTATGGGGTGGGGAGGGTCTGAGCCAGAGTCAAGCTGGGGCCCAAGCCCTCTTGCTTTGGACTCAGGCCTGCACAATACAGCGTAGATTCGAGCCCCACGCTGGGACCCAGGGTCAAACGATCCCTCACCTGGGGTTACAAATGAGCATGGAGGTTCCAGCCCTGAAGGGACGAACTCAGGGTCTGGTCCCTTGAGTTGTAGGAACCGTGGCTCACGCTGCAGCGCAGACGTCCCCTGGCTTTTCCTCGCCACTTTGCCACCTTTAGAGACTGGCACAAGCTGGCAGTACATGCCAACATGGCGGGTGGTGCTTCCAGGGGCCATTGTCATGCGGTTCCATCCTTACCATCTCGGGGGCTGGATTTTCAACCCCCTCCCCTGCCTTCCAGTTCCTTTTCCTGTAAATCGCTCTCTTGTTATGCTGGTTGGGGGGGTGGGGGGGGGAGGGTCGTTTACAGGCCGGGCCGGGCGAACACGTATACATCAACAAGCAAGCGTGGGCCACACGTTACACCCCTCCTCTAGCAGGTTCGAGTCTTCAAGCTCCTCACCATTGTCCTTCCCCTTGACGAAAGCCTCCCACTCCCGGAACCACTGCATGCTGATACAGTAGATGACGCTGGGCGACTCTTCAGCCTGGAATGCCTTGTTCAGCTGGAGGCCAAGGAACAGGGGAAGGGAAATATTCAGTCACTATGGTTTGCAATCAGGCATTCCATGGCGGGTCAGAGAAACCTCACCCCTCGCCAGGACTACTCAGTTACACCCCAGCTCTCCCACCAGCCCCCGCCTCCCTCACCACCACCGCAGTCACCTGCTCCCACTCGCTCTGAACTCTCACGATCCCACACAGCCTCACCACAACTGTCGCACGTGCGTCAGGGACCCCAGAGCTGAATCGTCATGCCCTAATGCCAGGCTTCTCCGGGGACTCCAGGGGAGAGATCTCTGCCACCCTGCTGTGGGGAAGTCTCTTGTGCCCCCAGCCCTCGGGTCCCTCCTCTAACTCCTTCCCACACGCACCTTAATGAAGGTGTCGATCTCAATCCTCCTGCGTTTGGCCAGGGCCTCGATCTCCACCTGGCAGACTGAGCACACGTACAGATGGTTCACGGCAGGGCCGCCCCCAAACCTGAGCCCAGGACAAGAAGGAAAGAGGGACTGAGCACGGGGCTGGCACAGAAGAGCCCTGAGCCCTGTGTGTAAATAGGGTGGATTCTTACACTGCTCTCTGTATCCTGGGGGGGGGGGGGGGGGGGGTGCAACCTTTTTGCATTCGCGACCCCCGGACTCAATAAAAGGGGCCCGAAAAAATGTTTAAGAAAAAAAAAGTGGCCCCTTTAATTGCCACTCCACTCCTGCCACTCCCCCCACCCCCAGCACCGAGCTGGGAAAAGAACATTCTAGCTGGCCCGGATCAAAGTGTTGTGACCCTCCCGGAGAACAGCCCACGGGTTGCGCACCGCTGTTTTAAGGAGTGCCACTGCCTCTGCCCTATAGGACCTAGGTCCAAACGGTCCCACCTTGGATCCCTGGGATAATGGGTTTGCTGCCCATCTGTGGGTGCTCTCACGTTACACACTATTAGGCTCCAGCTCTCCAGGGGGAAATCCCCCCACCTCGGGATTCAGCGGTCAGGAAATATACAATTCTACAACTGCACAGGTGCCTTAGAGGGAAGCACCCTGTCTGGCCAATGCAAGAGGCAGGATCCCAGACTTTATGGCTCAGGCAGGGCACATCTACATAGTTCTCAACCATATCAGCACTGTGCTTGTTCCAAAGCCCTGTGGGATGAGGAGGAAGCCAGCTTCACTCACCTGTTATAGAGATAGTCCCACACAGTCTGGGGCAGAATCACCACCAGGTCATCAATGTAGTGGTATTTATTGGGAGGGATCCCTGCAAACCAGAGCGAGTGGCAGCATTAGACGGGGTACTGAACAAGGAACAGTGTCCTCCCCTACAATGGAGGAAGAGGAGAAATCGATGGCAGGTATCGCTCAGTTAGCCAAGGGGTGAGGAATGGGGCAAAGAAAGGAAGGAGACAACGGGTGGGGGCAGAGCTCTCTCACTGGGGGACCCTCAGCTTGATTTAAGGCAGCTGGACCCCTGAGGTCAGACCCTGCTCCTACACACTGACATTTGCAGAATTCGTGGTCTGACTAGAGCAGGGCTACTCAGCAAATGGCCCACAGGGCACACGTGGCCCACAGCCTGTTTGTTTGTGGCCTGCAGTGCAGTTTGGGTGTACACAGGGCTCGACACACGGCCCGCGGGTGGGATCCTTTGGACACGGCCACCACTGGGAACATGCTCCACAGCGGCGAGGCATCTCCCAGGCAGGGTGAGCACTGAAAGACGCAAGCAGAGGGGCTGTCTGGAACAGACGGGTAGAGGGTGTCGGTGTTTCTAGCCTCCAGGGAGGAGGGGCCGGGAGCACTGGGGCATTGTGGGAAGTGCTATGCCCATCAGTGTGAAAGAAGCTATTTGCATATATATGCAACCATGGCCCTTGGCATGCATTGTATCATTGCAGCCCCCGGGGCTTCCAAAGCTGAGTAGTCCTGGACTAGAGGGCTATAAAGGCTCTTAGGGGGAAGGCCAGACCGAGCTTTTACCAATCTGCAAGGGTTCCCAATACCACCTCACCCCTCCCACCACGCACTCAACACCCGCCCTGCTACCTTTGCTAACTGTAGTAAATGGCAGCAGATGCTTGCAGCTAAAGAGCCAATAACCTGCTACGCTCCTCCAGCTGCCCGTACTGCTTCCACTGGGACACTGCCCTATTGCTCAAGAGTTTGTCCCCTACCCCCATTAGCTTTCTAAATGTAGCTGTGAAAACAACTGATGAAGTGAAAGCCAGTTTCCCAGAGCAGCACGTCCCTCCCGGCCTTTGATCAGCCGGACAATGTTCTAACTGTCCCATTCCTGAGTGCGCCAGAGTCTCTGCCCATGAGGCAGACTCTTCTGCAGCACACGACACTGGGAAGGGAGCAGGGCTTTTATCAGGGTGCGTCAAGGTGTCGGCCAAAGCTGCAGCTGGAAACTTCCCGCTGCGGCGTGAAGGCTATTAGTCCTAATGCAGAAGGCCTGGCAACGCTCCCAAAAGCGGTGGCCGTTCCCCTCACCTCCGTGTGCGCACAGGAACGTGTGGTTGGTAATGGGACCAGGCTCTGCAAAAGTGTTGAATTTGTTGAGCCACTCTCGGGAGATATAGAACTGGAGCAAGCAGGGTTCCTTCATGGTGGCGAGGGACACAACCTTCTGCCGCTCCCGCACGGCCTCCTCACTGCTCTTCCTGCAGGGGGAAAGGAGGGAAGCAAAGCAGTCTCTGGCATCTGACCCGCGATTTACTAACAGCCTGGACAGAGCTCTCCAGGCCAGGTACCCGCTCACCTGTAGAACAGGACATAGGCCTCTGCGTTCTGGACCACCGTCTCGTGGACCTCAGTGACATACTGATCATCAAACTCATACCACTGGCCATTGATCACGTTCTGGCAGTACGCGATGTAGTGCCCACCTGTGACAGAGGGAACGGAGCAGCACTGAGAGCCCCCGGCAGGCCTGGACTGGCGTTGGTGACAAAGCCGAGATTGATCCTGGCCTGCTGGCCTGGCAAAGGGAAAAGCTGTGTGTTGTGGTGGGCCTGCCGGGAGGGAGGAGCTCTGGCACTGTCGCTTTGGAAGGCTGCTGCAGGCCCATGGCCCATTTCCACGGATCCAGTTCTGCCCTCCTTTGCTGAACGAATGGAAGCCCTGCTATGGGCCTCCCTGGGAAATGCGTCTGACCCAGCGTGGTGGGGGTGAGGGCTACTTCACAGGCAACAGGGAAGGAGGAGGAGACAAGAAGAAATCTGAAGAGGTTTCAAACAGGATCGGAGTTTCACTGGGAAACCCTGCGAGAACATGCAGATTGGACAGCATCAAAGCCAGCCCCGCTACAAAACATGCTGGCACGTTACATGCAGCGCCCGAGGAAGGTCAAAGTGAAAACCTCGTGCCCTGGCACTGCCAAAAGACCATGAGCAGGGTGTGGTGCCCAGAGCTTCAGGCTATTTTCAGACCAATCTCGTTTCCAAGCATTTCAGGAATGGCAATGTCAGGAAGGGCCAACTTACTGCCTGCTGTGCCGTGATGGCAGATGACGGACAAGAGATCGTAGGTGGTGATCTGGGAGACACATTCCTTGGCCAGGAAGGGGCGAAGGTCCAGCCCTTCCAGAGGGAAGGAGACATGGCTGTTGATTTTGAAGGAATACATAACCTCATGCCGGAACCGTTTCAAGTGGATGCACAGGATCTAGGAAACCAGAGGGAGATGGCAAAAAAGCACAGAATGTTTCCAGGGATACCCAAACCAAATACAATTTCCTCTCTGGACTCCCTGATCTCTACGTGAATTTCCTGACACTATGGGTTCTGGAACCTGGTTAAGGATTGGGCCAAAAGAAATCTGATGAGGTTCAACAAGGACAAGTGTAGAGTCCTGCACTTGGGACAGAAGAATCCCAAGCATTGTTACTGGTGGGGGAACAAATGGCTAAGCAGCAGTTCTGCAGAAAAGGACCTGGGGATTACAGTGGATGAGAAAGTCAACAGTGTGACCTTGTAGCCAAGAAGGCTAATGGCATATTAGGTTGCATTAGGAGGAGCATTGCCAGCAGATCCAGGGATGTCATTATTCCCCTTTATTTGGCTCTGGTGAGGCCACATCTGGAGT